AGTTTAGAAGAGTTCTTTTAATCATAGAGTTTAAAAGTTCATGTGCCAAGTTGTCAACTGAGAGACTGGTCATTCAAATCCACCAGCAGCTCTGAGTAGAAAAATGGGCAGTTTCCTCCTGTAAATATTTAGCATCTCAAAAATACAATGGAGGGAGCTCTGTGGTGGTCTAGTGGCAAGAAGCTGTGCTGAAGGTGTGTGGTTCAAATCCGACTCCACAGTAAACAACAACAAAATACCAATGGAAGCTTGCCTTGAATTAGCATCAACTTGACAGCAGTAGGGAGTTGGGTTTTATCATTTTAAAGGCTGTAAATTTTATGGGAAGAGATGGACTTAAATTTCTTTCCAAGTATCAGCTAATGGGTTTGAACCAGGGACGTTTTGGTTAGCAGCCCAGTGCTCAGCTACTGTGCCAGCAGGCCTTGTGTAAAGTCAGAACTACTGAGAGAAAACAGAGGCCAAACAGAATGAGATCACGCCCAGAGTGAAAAGCAGGCAGGGGTGGGAGTGGGGTGCAGTTCAAACTGTGCAGGTGCCCAGTGCCAAAATGGGGGACCCCAGGTAGCCACCCCCATTCTCTGACCCAACAACCCAGTCGTGCTTGTGATGCCACAGAGAAGGAAGTGAGGGAACAGGAGGGAGCCCCAAATGAGATTGTCTGGAGACATTCCAGGACATAATGAATTGACAAACAACTGTTTCTCCCCTTCACATCATCTAGGAAAGTGATTCAACCCTCTATTTACTCTTGGAAGGCTGCAAACACGCTCTGTCGTTCCAGTCACCTTCTGACTGCCCTCACTTGCTCCAGGCAGTCATGAGTCTGGGGACAAATGCAGAGGCATTTAAGACTCTTTACACTAATGTAAAAAGGCAGTCGAGGAGGAGGGAAAGGGCTAAAGTGTATCAAAGGCAGTTGCTCGGCCAGCCAAGCCTATTCAGAGCCTCCTAATCCTCTCTGCTGTTTGTTCAACACCTATTTGCTTGATGAACCAGAACCAGCCTCATATTTTCTGCAGTGTTTGGGGTTATGATAAGAGGAGAGGGACTGGAAGGAGAATGCGGGTTAACTGACAGCCATAAGCCACGGAGCATTCCTCTTTCCCAGTATCGCATACCTGCTGCCCCTGCAGAGGTCACTCGGACTACAGTCCAGCACTCCCCACTGTGGTCGCCTGCCGCCCCCCAGCTGCTAAGGGTGCCTCCTCCCAGGCGCAGGCTCTGACAGGCTGCTCGTCCTCTGCAGTATCTTCACACGGCAGCATCCTTCCTCTCAGGCTACCATTTCTGGGTCCCTTTGGGAAAGCCTGCCGGGCCATCCCATCTGTATTCATTTGTGGGGCTGAGTGAATTCAGTTCTGCAGACTGGTTGGCTTACAACAACAGAAGTGTCTCGTCACCCAGTCCTGGCGACCCGAAGTCCAAAAGCAAAGTGTGGGCAGGGCCCTTCTCAGAATATTCTAGGGAGGATCCTGCCTTGCCTCTTCCTTCTTCCTTGGCTGGTGGCAGCATCACTCATCTCTGCCTCTATCTTTACATGGTCCTTTTCCCTCTGCATCTCCACATTCTGGCTCTTAGAAGAACACGTCACACTGGATTAGGCCCTCATCTCCTCCAGTCTGCCATATGTTAACTAATTATCTCCATTTCCAAACAGGGACACATTCACAGCTACTAGAGGTCAGAACTTGAGCCTATCTTTTGGGGGGACAGTTCAACCCATTGTCATTAGCTGCCACTGGGTTGACTCTTTACTCACAGGGACATTACATACAACAGATTGACCTGCCACCTGGTCCTGCCCCATCTCCATGCCCATTCGTAGGTTTGTGTCCACTGCTGATGTCACTGAGGGTTTTTCTTTCCTTTGCTGACCTTCCACTTTGCATAACTCCATCTAAGGAGCACGGCCGTCATGCCAACCATCCTTCCTTGTCATGCATTCCCATGCCAACATTGTCCAGGAATATGAGGACAGAACAGGGTCGGGAAGGAGAATGCTCGTAAGCTGACAGCCACGCAGCTCTTCTTGTATTCTTGATAACCGTCTGTCTCTACTCACCACAAGGCAAAGATTCACCTGTCTTGAGTAAGTTACCTGGTGCCCTCGTTCCTGGTGTAGACACACATAAAGAGTTGTCTCCCCAGCTGGAAACTGTTTGGGGTACAGGCCATGAGTCGCTCCTGGTGGACAGATCAGACAAGGGAGGGAAATATCCCAGCTGACCTGTCCACGGTGGCTCTGTGCTCACTGTTCACCTGGGGACAAACACAGTCCGACACACACAGCTCTCAGGAAAGTCATCCTTTCAGGACAAAGTGGTGTGAAAACAGACAACTTTGTCCCACAGTCCATCCTTCAAAAAGGAGGCCCTGGCAGTGCCTGGTTAAAACATTTACTGTTAATGAAAAGGCCAGTGACTCAAACTCACCATCAGAAAAGTGAGGCTTTCTGTCCCTGTAAAGATTCACGCCTGAGCCACCCCAGGGGGCAGCTCTGCTGTGTCTTACAGGGTCACTGTGAGCTGCCGTCCACTGGACGGCAGTGGGTTTGAAGTTTTTCATCCTTTGGACGCACTCACTCTGTGACCCCAGTCAGTGATCCACCGCAGACCAGCGGTCAGCTAACCCAACACCTGAAGGAAAAGCAACCCCATCTCTACCCTCCCAGCCCCGCCTCTACCCTCCCAGCCCCGCCTCTACCCTCCCAGCCCCGTCTCTACCCTCCCAGCTTCCTGTGCAGCCAAGTAACCAAGTTGCGGCCTCCCCTTAGGGCTGTGGTATGAACTAAGTCATGCTCGGCCACGTGGATGGCAGTGCCACCGTGCCGAGGGATCCTGAGGACACTGGGGCGAGGGGAATCCACTGCTGTGGCATCTGCTCCCACCCTCACAGCGCTCAGGGCAGAGAGCTGCCCGCCGGTTCCCAAGGCTGCCCTTCCAGGAGTCGGCACTTCATCCGTGCTCTGCAGAGTGGCTGCTGGGTTCAACCTGCTCAACTTTGGGCTCGTGGGTTAATACTTCACTCTTGGTGCCACCAGGGCTCCTTGCTCAAGCAACCAGATGGGTGAAGCCTGAGTCTTTGGGTGACGGTAGAAAGCAAAGCCACCCCCAAGGCTGCTGCAGCAGAGAAAACCTTCTGACTGAGCTGCTGGATGTGAGGGGTCTGTTACAGCTGGAACCCTAAAGGTTAAAATATATGAGAGCAGTACTGCGAAGGCTTCCCCCCAGGCTGGGGACCATGGCCTGGTTCTCAAACGGAGTCTACCCTCTGCTGTGGGTTGATCTGTGTCCCTCCTCAAAAAACCATTCAGGTTCAAGTCCTGTCTGTGACAGAACCTACTGGAAACGGTGTCTAGGGCATGTTGGGTTTGAGTGAGCCCTGAACGCAGTGACTGGTGTCTTCACAGAGGTGACAGACACAGCCTGATGAGTAAACCTGGCCCTTGTCTTTTGGGGTCAAGTGTAGTGAGGGGGACAGAAATGCAAACAGTGTGGCGAGAGCACACAGAACAGGGCCAGGCGGGCAGCCGGGGACCTGGGGGGCCCGTACACACAGGGGTTGCCCAGGCAGGAGGGCAGGTGAGGTGGTCAGGAGCCCAGCAGGAGAAGGTTCCTTGGAGGTGGAGGAACAGGTCTGAGCCTGGCAGGCAGCGGCTGGCAGCATCGTCAGGCAGAGCATCAGACCGTGCGAGCCACAAGCAATTTCAGGGAAGCACTCGAGCGTCCCAGGGCCCCTTCCAGCGGGAAGCCGTGTGACACCAGCCGACGTAACTGGTTCGACTCCACAACAGCCACTCGTTTCCTGGTAAAAAGCAAGGGGCTCCCGAGGCCCAGGCCCGGCCAGCCACCCCTCCCGCTCCCTCCTGCAGGGTCGTCTGTCAGGACTCGTCAGGACCAGGAGCCCAGGAAGGGCCCCCACAGCGAGGACCACACAAGTCTGCGGGGGCCCAGCGCGACACACCCACAGGGCCCGTCCTCCACTGAGGAAACACACTGCACACACACACACACATCTGCCATTTATTACATTAGAGTCTTCAGAGCACTTTTCTTGTATTTTTAAAATCCAGAACAAGGAGGATTCACAAGTTTTTCACTGTGTGCCATTAAAAAAAAATATCTATATACAAAAACAAATGCTCTAGGATTCCAGAACTTGGTAAAGTGCTGGACAGAGGACACAGGGTGCCTGGGCTGAGCGTGGAGCTCCGTTTACAAGTGCTGCTGACAGCACTGTCATGCTGGAACTGCAGAGGAGATCCGAGGCACGGGGACTGACCAGCACTGACCGGCCATCCCCCGAGGAGACACAGCCCCCAGGACGGACACTCGGTTCTGAGAACACCTACACTGACATAACAATTAACATTAAAAAAAATTCAAAACCCGTTGAAAGCCTGTGAGTAAATGAGAACCCCCTAAACCGTGAGCCCCACCTATCTCTGTCAGCTGGCAAGACAGGGCAGGGTGGGGATGGTCCACCTGTGACGCGTACACAGCACAGTGGTCAGCCCACCCGTTCTAGCCACCAGCTGTGGGAAGGTGGCTGAAGCCCGGGTGGACTCAATGCGTCCCTGTAACAGTCAATGTTCCACTAGAGAGGGGTGGGCGCCAGCGGACAGCTAGAGCCTGGAGTGTGGAGGGAACAGAGAAGAGGCCTCAAGAAATGGACAGAAAGACGACCTGACTGGGAAGGGCACAGCCAGGCTGCACCTCACAGCGGAGCTCAGCACAGCTTCACCCCGCCACACCCTGACCGGGCAGGAACCGGAACTGCACGCCTGGGCAGCACCCACACCCAGAAGCAGCACCCCCCAAACAGGCTGCACGCCCCCAAACCACTAGGACCCCACTCAGCAGGTGGGCCACCTGACCCTGGGGATCTGACTGGGAGTCAGGAGTGATCAGTACAAATGTCCTTGCACAGAGCCAGGGGGTCTCTGTGGTGTCAGGAACGCAGAGCATTCGGGGAGCACGGGGCTGCGGGCGCCCCACTCAGAAGTCCTGGAGCTCGGGGATGTTCTGGTACAGATCCAGGGTCTCGGGGTTGGAGAAGGCCCCACGGTGCTCCACTGACTTCCCCGCGATGACCTGCTTCACGGCCACTTCCACTTTCTTGCCATTGAGCGTGTACTGAAAGGGAAGAGAGAGGAAAACGTGCATGAACGGCCCAGCTCTGACATCAAGACCCTGGGGACTCCAATCTGGACGACTGTCCCCTCCCAGTCTAGGAGAAAGCCAGCACTGCTGAAAACCAATTTCAAGGTCCAGCACGTAAGGCCAGCTCCCAGCGTGCTCCACCTCCCCACTCCGAGTGGGGCTAAAAAAGCGACTTCCAGGGATGCCTGTTCCACCAGCTGGGAAGGAATCTGCCTGCACGAGTCACCCCCCTGCTGCCTCTCCCAAGGCCACATCAGACGCTTGTCGCTGGACTGGAGGACCAAGTTCTCAGAGGTCACCGTCCATGACCCAGGTGAGAGCCCACAACTCCTCCATGCGCCCCCTGGGCATCCACAAAAGGACGCTGCCCTGCGGCGACTATCATCACCACCCTGGGTGACCGCGTGGACGTGGGGATAACACCCCTGTCCACGGGGCTCTGGGCCGAGCAGCTAAGCCCCAAAGCTCTCTTAAGTGCCAACGAACACTGGCCGTTACCGCTATCTCCGGGGGAACAGCTTCCTGTGCCAAGTCAGAGGTGCCAGTGATCTGCACCTGGGACATAACGGTCCCCAGTGTCTCCCAGTCGTCCACAAACGCTTCATCCGCAGCCTCACCCCAGAGCAGTGCTGCTGGAACCTCTCATGGCCTCACTCTCAGCCTTTCAAAGCTGGGAGCTGAGCTCAAACCCATGCCTGGTTCAAGCTTCCGCCACCAACAGAGACGTCTATGTGTGACTGAGAACACCAGGGAGACACGCACTCCTCACAAGGGCGGCGTCTGCCCTCAAGAAAGCTCAGAAGGCAGGAAGTTAGGAAGAGGCGGAATGGAGATAGGGCTCTGAGGGAGCAAGTGGGAAGAGTGCTGCTACGTGGTGGGGACTGAGATCAGTGTTACAAAACCAAGTGTGTACAGACTGCCGGACGGAAACCCAACCTAGTCAATCAATGGGAAACCAATCTGCTCTTAAATCTTCATACAAATCACACATAGTACAAAGGCTTCCTCTTGAATCCAAACAGGCTAGTGGTGGTGGTGGTGGTGGTGGTGTGTGCACAGGGTGAGGGTGGGTGTGCACGGGGTGGGTGGGGTCACAGGGTGGGAGTACGGTATGCATGGGATGAGGGTGTGTGTGCACAGGGTGAGGGTGGGTGTGCACGGGGCGGGGGAGGTGTGCACGGGCAGAGAAACTTCTGGAACAGCAGAGCAGTGCAGTGTACGCCTGTCAGCACCCTAAGAAGCTCCCACCGGCTTTTATTTAAAAAAAAAAACAAACCCTGAGATGTAATTAAAATCCATTCATTTGAAAAACTCTGTCAACACGTGTGCTAATTACAGCTCTGATGGGGGCTTCCAAGCAGCCGCCCATCAGTTCACTGGGTGTCGGCGGCCTCTCACCGGAATTGAACTGCAAATACCACGAGTGTCACAAAGGCTCCACGGGCAGCTCAGAGCTGATACTCATCTGCTGCTAGCTCATAGAAGAAACGTGACATTGCTTTAACAAGAGACCTGGGGGAGGTGGGAAAGCAGGCTTTGTCCAGGTCGCCATACTTGTCCCTCCCTGGGGAGGAGCAGGCTGGGCGGGAGCAGGGCTGGGACACCTCAACTCGGCCTGACCAGGGACTACCAGACTCTGCTGGAGTCGGCTAGGGTCACTCCCGTGCCCAGTGCCCATTCCCATCCACTGGGATCAAGCAGAAGGCGGAATATATTCTAGGTACCAACTCCCCCTTCCTGGGCAGGTTTGTCTCCTGATCTGTAAGATGGGCGTGAAGATGACAGGCCTCATCTTCCTCACTCATTCACTCACAATGTGATCACGTGACCACAGTGGGTATCTGCTGTGTGCCAGGGAGCAGGCTGAGCTCTGGGCAGAAATGCTGTCCGCATGGGGTCCCTGCCCTCAAGGAGCTGACCCTCTAGACAGGCAGACAGAAATAAGAAGCTGCATTGCAATCCCAGAGGTACGCAGTTCAAATCCACCAGATGCTCTGCTGGAAAAGGAGGGACAATCTCCTGTACCAGTCAGATCAGATTTGACGGTAAACACATAATAAACAATAAAATTAAAAAGAAAAGAAAAAGAATTAAGAAACAGCTCAGCACAGCCAGTGGTGGGTGCCACCAAGGAAGGACTGAGGACCCGCTTTTAAAGCGGAAGTCCAGGAGGCCTCTCAGGGGAGGTGACCTGCACCAACAGAGCTGGCTGTCAGGAGCAACATGGGGACAAAGTGTTAGGGCGAGCTCCCGGCACCACGCAGCCCTCACTCAACGGTGCTGTTCCAGCCTCACCCCCAAGGAGAAAACAAGGCTCAGGGAAGCTGGGGTGTCTGCATGACTCACACCCCAAACACGAGTTGGGGCAGGACACAATCAACCCCCATGGCAACAGCAGTCAAGAAATCAAAAGACGTGTTGCGTTGGGAAAATATGCTATGAAGGATCTCTCCAAAGTTCTAAAGAGCAATGATGTCGGTTTAAAGACTAAGATGTGCCTGATCTTAGCCATGGCCTTTTAAATGACTTCCTACGCATCTGAAAGTTGGACAACAAATAAGAATGGCAGAAAACTCAATTGCCTACGAGCTGCAGTGGTGGAGAAGAGTACTAAACATCCCACGGACTGCCAAACGAACAAACAAATGTCTTACAGAAAATGCAGGCTCCTTAGGGTTTAAGGATGGTGAAACTTTGTTATCACATTGTTGGGAATTTTGTGAAGAGGGGACAATCCATGGAAAAATACACCATGCTTGGAAAGGCGGGGGTCAGCGAAAGAGGAAGATCCTCAACGAGGCGACTGACACAGTGACGAGAACAAAGGGCTCACGTGCAGCAGAGACAACGACAAGACAGCACGTGGTTTCAGTAATTGCTCACACGGTCGCTGTGAGTCCCAGCCCCTCCCTGATGGCGCACTGACGGTGCAGTGAGTCCTAACAACAGACGGCGGTGTAGAAAGATGTGCTGGGGGAGGACGTTAAGCAACTGGGACCACAATACACAAAGCAGAGAGCAAGCCTCCCAAGCCGAGCTCTCCTGAGGCACAGGGGTCCCGTGAAGAGGGGACTGGCCTCACTGCCAAATGGCAAGAGTGGGGCCCATCATCAGCTTCGTACCGGGATCCCCTTGGTCTCCAGGATGAGGCTGGGGACGTGCCGCGCCGAGAGGCCGAGGCGGATGGCTTCCCGGATCCTCCGCACCAGATCGGGCTGGAAGGGGTGGCCAGAAACCATCTTCAGGAAGAGAATCACGCGCTCCTCCCCGTCCTGGTTGTACTGCGGGACGCAGAGGCTGTCCATCACCTCCTCAAAGGCCTCCACTGCAAAACAGACGCAGGGCACGGTCACTGCCACAGTCAGCAGAGGGGAAGACTGAGCAGCTGACCAGTGTGGTCTCTTCTCCACCCAGCCCATGGAGAAGAGCCCCTCGGGGACCTGGTCCAAGGGAGCCGGGCAACAAACAGGAAACGAGTCAGTCATCTTCATGTGAGACGCTTTCCTGTTTTACAAGGCGGCTCCACGCATGCACTACTAACTTAATTTCATTAATTAGAAATGTAAAAGCAGCACATCTCATGGCTGGGCGTCCACTGGGGGAAGGAACAGAAGCTTGTCTCCAGTCTGACCTGCACCAGAGCCACCTGGGCATTCGCACTGCACTTCAAAAGTACACCCTCACCCAGAGACCCACATCCTGGTCTGATGTGGACAGGTCTACTTGAAGTTCCTCACATGCAGGCCGGTCCTGTCAGTGAGGGACCACGTGCACTGTGGGCATGGGGCCGTGTGCATCACCATCGGTGAGGGGTTGTGTGCGCTGTGGGCATGAGGCCGTGTGCAACATCAGTGAGGGGCTGTGTGCACTGTGGGCATGGGGCCGTGTGCATCACCATCGGTGAGGGGTTGTGTGTGCTGTGGGCATGGGGCCGTGTGCAACATCAGTGAGGGGTCGTGTGCGCTGTGGGCATGAGGCCGTGTGCAACATCAGTGAGGGGTCGTGTGCGCTGTAGGCATGGGGCCGTGTGCATCACCATCGGTGAGGGGTTGTGTGCGCTGTGGGCATGAGGCCGTGTGCAACATCAGTGAGGGGTCGTGTGCGCTGTGGGCATGGGGCCGTCCGTGTGCGCTGTGGGCATGGGGCCATGTGCACCATTGGTGAGAGGCTGTGTGCACGGCGGCCATGATGTTGAGTGCATCACTGGTGAGGGGCTGTGTGCACTTCTGTGTGCACGGGGTGTGGGGCTATGTGGCCTTTTCCCTCAGGTAGCCTCTGTGCTCCGTTTCTTCAACTATGACAGGTGGGTAATAAGAACCCATCAACCAAGGTCCCCTGAGGGAGCTCTTGTCAGGTCATCCTGTGAACTAGGGCTGAGGTGTATGAGGAATATTCTGGAAAGGATGTACATGCTAACGTCCACTCTTCCCCTAAGGGACCAACCAAGGACAGCCTCCGGGACACCTCCCTACTCACAACCTATTAATAGGGGGGAGAAAGGCAAGGCCATACCAATGTTGTAGATCTCCGAGCTGCCAAAGCGCACTCCGTTGGGGTTGAGCGTGCCATCACTGGGAAGAGACGAGGCGGTGAGTGGTCAGCAGGTGTCAGGCGAGGGGTGTTCCCTGCTCCCACACCAGCTCAGTAACTGCCCCTCTGCCCCCCCCCCGCTGACCTTTCCTTCTCTCTATAAACTTAAAGGAAGACACCAAGGAGGCCCCTCACTGCCCCGCACCCTGTCCTTCAGCCCAAGACATGTGCTGGGCCGCACTCTCTGCCACTGCCGGCCCCAGTGCTACCAGGGCTGCTCTGCTGCCCACGGGCACCGCCACATCTTTGCTCACACCTCCACCACCCTGGAATGGACTGTGCCCTGGACACTGCAAACAATAATGCCCACTTCAGGGGTGATAGGATGGCCAAGGGGTGCATCAGCTCACACCACAAAGCAGCTAGGGGCTGTAGCACCTTCAAAGGTCTCAGTCGGGGTGAGAGAAGGCTGAGGTCACAGGGGCGGGGCTGGCCAGCTCAGGGACATGACAAGAGGTAGAGAGGAAGGGCCAGCTTCACTGACAGGGACCCAACACACACACACACACACACACACACACACACA